ACACTATTAATAAATATGCTTGGAGAAGGGTAAATATTTTGTGTGTTATTACTGTACACATTTACCGACATATACATATTCATAAAAAAATGCGCATTCAAATTAATACAATAAAAATTTGTATTAAAAGCAGTGATAAATCTCCACGAAAATATTTCTGGATTAATATGCCCAAAAATACCTTTTGTTTGATGTCCATATTGAGTTATTTTAGTAAAAATATGTGGCAACCCTATTCAAACATATCTCTGGATTGGAAATTTTTAAAATGCTTTAAATTTCAATATAATATTATGATATTTTATTTAATGCAATACATTGTCTGAATTCAAAATTTCATTAAAATCTTTAGATATATAATATATGTGTATGTACNTTTCGGCAAAAGCGCCATGCATCATCTTACTGACGCCATTGTAGGCGAATCGTACATTGAAAATTAGGAGGCAACACTATTAATAAATATGCTTGGAGAAGGGTAAATATTTTGTGTGTTATGTACTGTACACATTTACCGACATATACATATTCATAAAAAAATGCGCATTCAAATTAATACAATAAAAATTTGTATTAAAAGCAGTGATAAACCTCCACGAAAATATTTCTGGATTAATATGCCCAAAAATACCTTTCGTTTGATGTTCATATTGAGTTATTTTAGTAAAAATAGGTGGCAACCCTATTCAAACATATCTCTGGATTGGAAATTTTTAAAATGCTTTAAATTTCAATATAATATTATGATATTTTATTTAATGCATTACATTGTCTGAATTCAAAATTTCATTAAAATCTTTAGATATATAATATATGTGTATGTATATTTCTTATTCAAAATATGGCCAAAATTGGAATTCATCGAGCAAAATATTCCCTAGAAAGTCTACAACTATACAGCTAAATACTTATTAAATTCTCATAATTTTTTATTGACTTTGAAGTAGCGTCTTAGGCACCACATAACAGCTATATCGATCAGCTATAGGTATTGGGCTCCTTTTGAACCATTTATTATATTCTGCATAATAAACTGACACGTAATTTTTCATCTTATCATTTTTNTCCCTAGAAAGTCTACAACTATACAGCTAAATACTTATTAAATTCTCATATTTTTTTATTGACTTTGAAGTAGCGTCTTAGGCACCACATAACAGCTATATCGATCAGTTATAGGTATTGGGCTCCTTTTGAACCATTTATTATATTCTGCATAATAAACTGACACGTAATTTTTCATCTTATCATTTTGTTCACCTCCGACCACCCACAATTGATCACCTTTCCAAACACAACCCATGCATCCACGCCCAACGTTCAAAGAGCACACCTATGAAAAGTAATGAATTAATTTTATTTTTTTAACTTTTAATGTTACTACGAGTATTTCAACCAACCATTGTCCACTCGTTCATTTGTGGATCGTAACGTTCAACTGTTCTATTTTCAGTAATTCCACCTAAAACGTATATGTAGTCATTGTGTACGGCTACCTAAATTGCAGAAATTTAAGCATTTAAAAACGTTTTTTACGAATTTCTCATTTTGTTTTCAATTATTCACTTACCGATGGGAAATTATGAGCTTTATTCATATCCTCACACAGTGTCCAATTATTTGAAGATGGGTCGTAACATTCAACAGATTGGGAGTCGTCAGTTCCATCAAAGCCTCCCATAACAAAAATTTTGCAATTTAAAGCCACTGCGCCTGCCTGGCTTCGTGGCGTAATCATACTGCTAACTAATTTCCATTTTCCACCGGGTGAATACCTAAAACGGTTTGATGAATGAAAATTTATTGTTGCTTAACAAAAACCAAAACTGGGTATATTTATATGTACAGTCAGCGTCAAAAATATGAAAACATAAAAAATTATTCGGCAAAGCACGCAGCGAAACAAGAGAGCTTTAAAATAATTTACATGCATTCGAATCGGGATTTTACTGGTCGTTCAACATAGTAATGAGAAAACCAACTTTGCATGAGTAAATTTTACCTTGATGGGTAGCTGAGGGTTAAAAAAAATTGCTTCATATGCATTTTCATCAATACTTACATTTCGACAGACCTTTTAGGCTGTCCATTTGTGACTTCTCCACCAATCACATAGATACTGTTATTTAACAGTACAACACTTGGCCAGCTACGTGTGTGAATCATTGAAGGCAATGCTCTCCACGTTCGCGTTTTAAAGCTCCAGCTTTTAACACCGTTAGTTATTTTGCCATTTCGTTCACCACCAACGTAAATAATATTGTCTTGCATAAGAACCATACCGTATGCGTATGTATTATGTTGAACTTCGGCGCATTTGTGCCATTCATCTTCAGGTTCGTCATATGTAAAAATGGTTCCTTTTCTGTCCTGCAATATATTTATGTACATACATATACATATATTAGGGTGGGTCAATATGTATGGACGAGTTTTTCGACTATGCGCGTATAGCACAGATGAATTCAACGCATTATTCTAAGCAAATTTGCAGAAGAAACCATGGGTCCAAAAACAAATTTGGAGTTTGTCAAATTGCGCAAATAGGTTTCTGAGCATTTTGCTGTAGTGTCGTAAAGGAGAGCTTAAATTCTGTATAAAAACATGGTATGAGGAATCCATTTCTGCACTTATCTTTTTCTTAAAACTTCCACCAGAGAGCGCAACAGCGAAAATTTTCACATTTTCTTCGAAACCTATTTTCGCAATTTGGCAAACTCCAAATTGATTTTAGAACCATGTTTTCTACGGCAAAGTTGCTTAGAATTAAACGCAAAATTCTCCTATGCTAAACGCGCATAGTAAAAAAAATATTTACCCGTCCTAATATATATAAGTATGTATGTATATAAGAACATATTATTGAAGTTAAAACACATTTATACATATCTATATAAACAAGTAAAAATTTATCAGTTTGAGCGAAACCGAACTTTATATGTATGAGTCTACATTAGAGTGGTCCAAAAACAGTAAAGTCGGAATTGCAATGCTCTCATCCCCTAGAATTGTTCTATATCGAAAAAATTATACCCCTATATTTTTATTTTGAAATCAAAAAATATTTATAGGTCGCTCAAAGTTGTATAGAATAATCATAGGGGGTGAGAGCATAAAAATTCCGGCTTTACTTTTTCACATGCATTTTTGGACCACCCTAGTGTACAGCGCACAGTGTTCTATTTTAAAAAAAGTGGACAAAATCAAATATCTCGAGAACGAGAACAGATAGCTAAATAGATGTAACAGTATTTTAAAGATATTGAGACGGATAATTCAGGAAAGTAGTCTCGTCGTTAAACGAATTACCTTGACATTTAAAATGACGTTCAAATAGTAGTTTTAATTTTTTTTTTTAATTTTTTTACCTAAAATAATTATGTAATGAACTTTTTAAAAGTTTTAAACGGATATTTTTGCTGCTCTTGAAGCAAGGCCATGATAATAAGCAGGGTTCGGAATCTCATGCGCTAAAAAAATCTAAAATATGCGCATTTAATATGCACTCGAAATTCAAAAATATGCGCTGTAAACAAGAAAAATATGCAATTAAAAATATTTTACCAATATTTTATTGCCGGTACAAAAATAAATAATACATGCATTTCAACAAGAAAATTACGAGAACAATTCATTTCAAAATACAATACATATTCATGCATGAGATTTGTTTATAATCAAGCAGACAGTTACAATCTTGTGTTAAGTTTAGTATACAGCTCTCAAGAAAAGCTAAAACTCCATATAGAAAACGGTGAAGAAATGGCGAAATATGTTGTCGTGAAAAATTTTCTTAAGACAGTACGGTGTTCCTAAAGTTTTTTTGCAAAAAAGGAGCATAGTACAACCCATCTTTTCAACAGAAATATATGCCCGCTCCATTATTTCGTGTAGAAAGGGCGAGACAGCAGGCTGTGAAATATCAGATACCAAAATTCCTTGGACACACACGAAATAATGGCAATTTTTTATTGACTGTTTTCTTAGGAGCTGGGTTCTTAGCTTAACTAGGAACATTGACAGTGGTTTAGATAAATATTTGGGAAAATATTAAAGTTTTTTTGTCAAGAGATGTCGCACTAAACTTAAATGGCTGTAAATCAAACAAAGCAAAAATATGTAAACTCCATATGAATTTATTGTAAACTATACTAAGATATGCGCAATAAATATGCAAAACAGGGATTTTTGCAAATTATGCACTAACATTTGAATGCAATTTTAAAGGGAATTCCATGATTTTTAAAAATAACTTAACCCATCCATCTGAAAATAGCTTTCAATAGACTTAAAGAAAATTTAAATGCGTTTTCCGGTTCTTATGACCTTGTAAATTGATTGCCTATGATATTTACAAATTTTATCAACCGAATCAAAATATTAAATGAGATTTTTGGAGGTTTTTCAAATCGGTACAGCTCACGTAAATCTTAATATTTGTCCGAAATATTTAAGCGGAAACTTTAAAAAATCTTATAATTCCAGTGGAGAAACTGCAACTTTTTTTTGGTGAAGCACCCTAATATTTACATATTATACATATGAACTAGCAAATACCCGTTCAGCCTCGTTGTGACCGAAATCTACTTTCCCGCTGTTGCTAAGGCAAGTAAAGTGTCGAAAATTTGTTTACAGAACTAGCCGATATGAGACTATATGCAAAAGAAAGCTTTAAAGGTATCTTCAAATTAGCTGAAGATGAAGCAAATAAGGTTGGTTTTATCTTATAAGTACCACGACGAGTGGGACGTCAAGCATGTCGTGAAAATTACGACGGAAGCGCAGACACCTTTTTGCCGCTAAATTTTTTTTCGTTATCTGATCATTATTTGGATCAAATAAATAAATGTGAGATTTGTTAATCACAAAAAACTACTAAAACATATTCAGAACATCTTGCCAAATAAAATTCTTAAGTTGGACCCTAGTATCTAGTTTCTGTCAAATGACACAAAATCGAAATGTACTGGCCTGATAACTATCAAACATCGAGAGACGATTTTATTGCTGAACTAAGCATGTGACGAAGGGTATGTTTTTTTTTCAAAAAATATATGTTTAATAACCGTTTTTTTTCAGTTACAGGTCTATCATACGAAAAAAAGAGACGCATGGGAGTTATTTGTTGAATCAGGGTGACAAAAGTCTTTATCCTACCATCTTTGTTTATTTGAAAATAGGTACAACACTGCCAGTATCTGTTGCAACGAACAAGCGGTCATTTTCAACCCTTCGAAGGTTGAAGACCTACATATTTGCGTAGTAGTATTGGGCAGGGGAGATTGATTGGGTTGGCGCTCCTAAATGTACATGGGGATCTGGAGGTAATCCCCAACAATTTCCTATTAAAAAATAATGTATAAAATAAATATACTTAATATAATAAAAATAATAATTTTCCTAAACAGCCCCCGAAATTTTATCTGGATCTGCCCCTGACCGACGTAAAATTGGAGATCGTGTCACCATCGCATGACGGTGACGTTGTCGTTGCCCGTAAAGAGAGAGAGAGAGGAATCAAAAATTTGATTTGGCCCTACCAAGGTACATTGAACAGGTAGTATCAGTAGAGCAGCTGATNATAGCAGCTTTTGGAACGTTCGCCCAACTCGGCAGCACGACCGCTGATTACTGGGCCTTGCAAAGGATGGATCAATGCTTCGAGAAGCAAACAAATTTACTAGGAAAGAAAGTTGCATCAATTTTTATTTTTTCCAATTTCAATTTTTTATTTTTTATAATTTTTTGTATTTCACATGGCACGCTTTGATTTAGAAGAAAAAATTCAGAACAGTTTTTGACACTTTCGATACCAGAAGCAACAACAAAATACACGCAAATGTTGTTTTTGCTCTACTGATACTACCTGTTTAATGTGCCTTGGGCCCTACATATTTTTTTTTTAATGGCATTAAATTCTTCAAATTGGAATAAAGAATTTTTTTGTTCAGCGTAAAAGATCTGTACCGTTCGCCCGATTTTCAAAAATGAAATGTCAAATTAAAGTGCTTAATCTGTAGATGTGCAAACTGGTTTTAGTTTTTCGTAAAGAGTTGCCACCTGTTGATAAATTAAATTAAAATTACTTAATAATCAAATCCGCACCGTTCGTTCAATTTCCAAAGTGAGGCTCGGGTTGTAGATGCGCAGTAAGGCTTAACTTTTTCGAATAGAGTTGCCACCTTTTAAAAAATTATATTCAAATTATTAACAAAAAATTATATTATCAAATATAAAAAATATATTATTAGAAACTGCGTATCAACCGAAATGGTTTTGAAAAGCTTTGTTTCATAGCTGAAAATTTAAAAAATCATATTAGATAAGAGAAATATGTATCACCATATGGATGCCAAACGAAAGGGGTTTTAGAAAGTAGTAGTTTGAAAATATTTTGAAGAGGGTTGCCACCTGCTTGAAATGTCCAATTTAGTTTACTTATACACAAGTTATGGAAATATCAAACGAAATTGTTAAGAAATCTTTAGTTTCATCGCCAATAATATTTTAGAGGTGTTGGGAAAGGACTGCCATCTGTTTAAAAAGTTGAATTCAAATTATTTTATAAGTTAAAGATTATACAACTTATGTATTTATCTTATTTTGGCATTGCACTTTTGATTTAGAAACATAGTTCTTAGTTTATTGCTAAATGGGAAGGGTTAATAGGAATCTCAGCTTTTTTGGCACATTTTGTAATCTTTTATCCTCAATATGGCACCTCATAGCTAAGCTGAAACCGAAAAGCTACGAAAGTAGCATATCGTGCCCTAACCGCCAAAGTAACG